GATCAAAAACAAGACAAGGGGGCCGGCCCGGTGGCGCACTGGATAGTGCGCCGCTTGGGAAGCGCGGCGGCGCTCCCGCCTGAGGGTTCGGATCCCACATACAGACCGGTTCCCGCTCACTGGCTGAGTGAGGCGCGGGAGCAACACCGAGGGTTGCAATCCCGTTGCCGGTCCCCGGTCCGGTACGGGGGCGACACTGAGGGTTGCGATCTGTTGCCGGACACGGAACAAGACAAAAAAAAAAAAACAAAAAAAAAAAAAAAAAAAAAAAAAAAAACAAGACAAGGATGCCCATTTTCACCACTTCTGTTCAACATAGTATTGGAAGTTCCAGCTAAAGCAATTAGGCATGAAAAAGAAACAAAAGGCTTCCAAACTGGAAAGTAGGAAATAAAATTATTTATGTTTGCAGATGACATAATCTCATATTCAGAAGACCCTAAAGATTCCACACAAAGAAATCTGTTATGATAAATAAATTTAGCAAATTTGCAGGATACAAAATTGATGTACAAAAATTGTCTTTTCATATACTAACAATGAACAATCTGAAGGAAATTTTTAAAAATTCCATTTGCAGTAACATCAAAAAGATTAGAATACTTAGAAATCAACTTACCCAAGGAGAAGAAAGATGTGTACACTAAAGGCTACAAAACACCAGGCCGGCCTGTGGCTCACTTGGTAGAGTGCGGTGCTGATAACACCAAGGCCACGGGTTCGGATCCTATATAGGGATGGCCGGTTTGCTCACTGGCTGAGCGTGGTGCTGACAACACCAAGCCAAGGGTTGAGATCCCCTTACCGGTCATCTTTTAAAAAAAATAAAAATAAATAAAATAAAATAAAATAAAAGCTACAAAACACCAATGAAAGAAATTAAAGATGTAAATAAATGAAAAGACATCCCATGTTCATGGATTGAAATATTGTTAAAATGTCAACAGTACCCAGAGAGATCTACAAATTTTCTACCAAATGCAATCCCTATCAAAATCCCAATGTTTTTTTTTTTTGCAGAAATAGAAAAATCCATATGGATTTTAAATTCATATGGAATCTCAAAGGATCCTGAGGCCAAAACAATATAGACAGACATATAAATCATTGGAATAGAATAGCAAGCCTAGAAATAAACCCTCTCTCATGTGGTTAAGTGATTTTTAACAGGGCTGCAAAGACCATTTAATGGGAAAGGACAGTCTTTTCAACAAATTGTGCTGGGAACACTGGATACCTACATGCAAAAAGAATAAAGTTGGACTATTGTCTTATACCATATACAAAAATTAACTGAAAATGAATCAAAGACCTAACATGATGGAAGGAAACATAAGGGAAAATTCATAACCTTGGATTTCATAATGATTTCTTAGATATGACACCAAAAGCATGGGCAACAGAAGAAAAAAATAGATAAATTGGACTTCATGAAAACTTAAAACTTTTGTGCACCCTTTGACACTATAAAGAGACTGGAAAGATAACCCACGGAATAGAAGAAAATATCTGCAAATCATATGCCTAGTAAGGGATTAATATCCAGCATATATTATAAAACTCCTAAAAGTCAACAATAAAAGAAACAATCGAATTCAGAAATGGGCAAAGATCTTGAATAGATATTTTCCCAAAGAAGATAAACAAATGGCCAATAAGCACAGGAAAAGATGCTCAACATCACTAATCATTGGGAAATGGAAGTCAAAACCACAAAGAGATACCATTTCACACTCGTTAATATAGCTCCTATTTAAAAAATCAGAGAATAACAAGTTAACAAGTGTTGCCAAAGATGTAGAGAAATTGGACTGGCCTGCTGGCCACCAAAAAGAGAGAGGGGAGGGGCTGAAAGAGAGCGAGAGCGAGAGAGAGAGAAATTGGAATGCTGGTGGGAATGTAAAATGGTGTATCCACTGTGGAAAACAGTACAGCTGCTCCTCAAACAAAGTAAATGTAGAACTGCCATATGATCTGGCAACTCCACTTCTGGTATGTACCCAAAACAATTGAAAGCAAATATCGAACACATATTTGTACACCCATGTTCATAACAGCACTGTTCACAGTAGCCAAAGGTGGAAATAACCCAAAAGTCCATTGGGGAATAAATGGATAAACGAAATGTGGTATATCCATAGAATGAAATACCACTCAGCTACAGAAAGAAACAAAGTACTAATACATGCTACAAAGTGAGTGAACCTTGAAAATATTGTGCTGAGTGAAAGAAGCCTGTCCCCAAAGACCATGTATTGTATAATTCCACTTATATGAGGTACTTAGAATAATCAGACCCACAGACATGAAAGTAGAATGGTGGTTGCCAGGGGCTGTGGGGAGGGGAGAATGAGGATTTAGTGCTTAAGGGGGACAGAGTTTCACTTGGGGAAGGTGAAAAAGTACTGGAGAGGTTCGTGGCGATGGTTGCACAACACTGTGAATGTGCTTAATGCCGCTGAACTATGCACTTAAAATGGTTAAAACGATCAATTTTATGTTACGTATATTTTACCACAACATAGAAGAGAAAAAATTAATAATTCTTGATAAATTAAAACTACAAATTTTGCTCTTCCAAAGGCAGTCTTTAGAAACAATCTGTGGAAAACTATTGGCCATGCATGTAGCTGACAAAGAACTTGTATCCAGAATATAAAAATGATTCTTACACTAATAAGAGAATAAACAACCCAATTTAAAAATGGGAAAAAGGTTTGAACAGACACTTCACCAAAGAAGAGATATGGACAGGCAGCAGGCATGTAAAAAGAGGCTCAACATCATTAATCATTAGAGATATGCAGATTAAGGCCATCGTGGGATATCACCACGGTGGCCACAACAATGGCCAAATAAAAAGGAAATGAAGGGCTGACTGGTTAGCTCACTTGGTTAAAGTGTAGTGCTGATAACACCAAGGTCACAGGTTCAGATCCCCATACTGGTTAGCCACAAACAAACAAACAAACAAACAAAAAACTGGAAATGAAATGCTAGTGAGGACGTGGAGGAATTGGAACTCTTATATATTGCTGATGATGACGTAAAATGGTGCAGCTACTTTGGAAAAGTTTGGCAGTGCTATAGTTTGAAAGTCCCCCCCAAAACTCACATTGAAATTTAATTGCCATTGTAACGGTATTAAGAGGTGGGACCTTCAAGAAGTGATTAGGCCACGAGGGCAGAACGCTTATAAATGGATTGATGCCATTACTGCTGGAGTGGCTTAGTTATTGCAGCAGTGGGCTCCTGATAAAAGGATAAGTTCAGACCTATTTTTTTTTCTCACTTGCCTTCTGCTATGGGATGACCCTCACCAGATGCTGGTACTATTCTCTTGGATTTTCCAGCCTCCAAACCTGTGAGCCAATTAAACTATTGTTTATAAAGGATCCAGTCTGTGTTATTCTGCCATAGCAGCAGAAAACGGACTAAGCCAGGCAGTTCCTTAAAAAGTGAAACCTACACTTACCATAGGATCCAGCCATTTCACTCTAGGTATTCACCCCAAGAGAAACGAAAGCATATGTTCAGACAAAGACTCGTACATGAGTGTTCATAGCAACTTTATTTGTAATAGTCAAAAGCTGGAGACCATCCCCATGTCCACCAACCAGTGAGTGGACAACAAACTGGTCCATCCACACAATGGAATACTACTCAGCAATAAAAAGAAATGGACTATTGATACATGCAATAACCTGAAGGGATCTCTGAACAGCAGCCAGATAGGCTTGACTGTCTGCTTGGGGAAGCTTAGCCTGTCCTTGCCCCTTATTCCTCTTCCCAACCCAGATTTGGACTCCATTCCAAGTGAGGACCATCATCAGGTGGGAAGTCTGTTTCCCGTGTTACACAGTCACTGGTTTTAAAGTTGTAATGGTCAGTTTTAAGTCCAAATCTAAAGGTATCCAATCAAAACAGCCTGCACAGAGGGTCAGGTCTCTGAGAGGTGGAGAGAGGCCAGATCAGGAGGTGTATATGAGGTTCTTGAGGCTGCTGTAACAAATTACCATTGGCTAGGTGGCATAAAACAATAGAAATTTATTCTCTGACAGTTCTGGAAGCAGATCTCTGAAATCAAGGTGTTAGTAGGGCCATGCTCCCTCTGAAGGATCTAAGAGGCCTCTCTCCTGGCTTCTGGTCGCTCCAGCAATCCTGGGGGTTCCTTGACCTGTGTATACATCACTCCAACCTCTGCCTCTGTCTTCACATGGCCTTATCCCTGTGAGTGTCTCTGTGTCCCTTTTCCACATTTTATATGGACACCAGTCATTGGATTCAGGGCTCGCCCTACTCCACTATGACCTCATCTTAATTTAACTACTTCCACCTGGAAAAACCCCTTTTCCAAGTAAGCTCATGTTCTGAGGTTCCAGGTGGACATGAATTTTGGGAGGACACTATTCAACCCAGTACAGGAGCCTCCATTGCCAGAAAAGCAGAGGATGCTCTTCGCAGGGTAGTGGGAGCCACAGCAGGTGTGTGGGCAAAGGCGTAGGGGTCCGACTCCCCTCTCCCCTGCCACAGGGAGGAAAACAAAGACGGCACAGAGGGAGAGCTGGTGTCCAACTCTTTTTTCTGTTTCTTTTATTTTTTTGGTGGCTGGCTGGTATGGGGATCTGAACCCTTGACCTTGGTGTTACAACACTGCTCTAACCAACTGAGCTAACCTGCCAGCCCTAGTGTCCAATTCTTGATGAGTGCCTGGGTTGCTGTGTGACCTTGGCCAAGCCACTGCTCCTCTCCAGGCCTCAGTTTCTCTGCCTGTGAAATGAGGCACAGGAGGTTGGTCCTGGAGCCCTCTGAAATTCTTGCTAAGGTTAACACGTTTCAGGGAAGAGCTAGGGTCTTTCTCAGACCCTGATGTTGGGTCTGGGGGTTTCTTATGTTTTTCCAGTGGGGACTCCAACATCTTTCCATTGTAGAGAGAGAAAAATCCAGCCGCGTTTTAGGGGAACAGGCAGGGGTTCAGCCTATAAGACTAGGGGTGAGGGGAAGCAGGGGACTGGATAAAATGACCTCCTGAAGGTGGGGCCTCGCCTCTTCCCCAGGGCGGGGACTGTGCAGTTCTGAGTGCGTTTGCCTACGAAGCATTCCAGCCAATCAGAGCCTGGAGCCCGAGGCTGTTAGCTGGTGGCCTGGGATTGACCCATCATGGTGTTCCATCCCAGGTGGTCAGTCCCGGGCTGGCTCTGCCCTCAGAGGTCTGTCTCCCGCTGGTCACGACCATCTTCATGTCCACTGCCGGGGGTCCAGGAGCTGGCATCCTCCACCTCCTTCTGCCCCAGGAAGAGCAGATGGTCCTCATCAGTGAGCAGGAAGCCAGGGGGCTTCTTGATTCCAAGAGGGAGTTCTTCAGGACCCTGGGAGAGGGAGAAGTAGAACCCCAATTGGAGACCCTGTCCCTGCTCTGTCAGCTCAACTCCCAGATGGGAACATTGAGGAATATCCTCTTGTTTAGTGCATTGGCCAGTCCTGTCCCCTCTGCCTCCAAAACATCCATCCTCTTCTCTTCCGCATGCTCATGTCGCCTACAGTCCAGGCCATCAAAGCCAGCTCGGGTACCTGCCACAGCTGCCTCCCCCTCACTCTCCCTCTACTTCTTAAAAAAAAACAAAAAAACAACGAAATATTTCTCCACAGCAGCTAGAGGGAATTTTAAAACCCTCCCCTCCCCAGCCCTCCCCTGTCAAGCCTGTTCCTGCCTCAGGGCCTTTGCACCTGCTGCTCCCTTTACTGGGAAAGCCCTTGCCCTGGATCTCTCTATGGCTGGTCCTTCTCATTCAGGGTCTTCCAAGAGGCTGCCCCTGACTGGCCTGCTAGAGTCGCTCCCTATCACAGCATCCTGTTTTATTATCGTCCTACCACTCATCGCCTGCTGAGATCTTACTCGTTTCTCTTAGGTTTCATCTACATCCACCCAATGGTGGGCTTGGACCCCAGCCCAGAACAGGACAGAGTGCACAGCAGGCCTCAATAAATGACAAAATGAAACAGTGAACCCAAAGCAGGGGTAGGCCTGGCATCAGGTTCCCCAGGGACAGTATTTTTTAAGCTCAGGGCATTCACACAGCAACCACATGGCTTTGGCTGAAATTGGTCTGCACTCGGTCATGTTTTCTTTCTTTCTATTTTTTTTTTTTTAGAAAGATGACCGGTAAGGGGATCTCAACCCTTGGCTTGGTGTTGTCAGCACCACGCTCAGCCAGTGAGCGAACCGGCCATCCCTATATGGGATCCGAACCCGGGGCCTTGGTGTTATCAGCACCGCACTCTACCGAGTGAGCCACGGGCCGGCCCTCTCGGTCATGTTTTCTATGTAAGATTTTCTCTAAGCTGACTCACTCTTGAATTAAGTGATTTTATTTTCAAAAGAGACTTTATATCAATACCCTAACCGCAAACCAGTTTCACCTGTCGAAGATAGGAAGTGATTGTAAAAATCGACACCATGAAAATAAATAGTATTAAGCTCTGCTCATCCCTTGTGAGAGGGAATAATAACTGTTGAAGATGAATCAGCTCCCAGTGGAGCCTTTCCAGTGGCGGTGAGGAGAGGTTGGGGAAAACCTGATACACCAAGCCCCTCCCCTGAGTTGTGGCTGCGTCCCAAGCACCCAAAGCCACCTTTGCCGTCTCTTGCTCTGGGAACCCGGCTTGAGACTGACCTTCACCAAGCTGTCATCCAGGATGGCCACTTCCTCCTTGGGGGCCACTGACGCTGTCTGCCGTGCGAGGTCCCACCACAGCAACCCAGGACCCAGGGCACTGCGCTTGGTTGGACCTGAGGGACAGGGAGAAATAGGGGCATTTGGTGAAGGGGTAGTGGGGGCTGGAGACCGGGCTCTGGGGAGGGGAAGGGAGAGTCCGGGGCTGTAGGGTCTGCTGGGTTCCAATTGCAGCTGTGATAGCTGGTGGGGAGGGGGAGGGGCCCTGGAAAGCGTCGGCCCCTCTATGAGCCTCAGTTTCTTCATCTGCACAGAGGGGAGTTGTAATCAAACATCCGTGGATGGCTGGGAGGGTCCAGCATATGGTTCCATTCGTTGCTGCTTGCAGCACAGAGGAGAGCTCGGTAAAGGCCCGATGGATGTAAAGTATGAGACTCAAGAAGCGGGATCAGGGACTTATCACTGCTGATTCCTCTTTGTTTCCTTCTGCTTCGTGGGATTCAGAATTCTCTCGGGGGGCAGGGGAGGGGCGCGGAGTCGCCACGCCCCGAGAAGATGTTTCAGCACCAGGGACAGCGCCCCGCGGCCTCGCCCCGTGTTCCCTCGCAAAGACTGGATCTTTGGGTGCCTCGGTTCCTGCCTTTCTAAATAGGGAAAGCCCGGCCAGGTGCAGAGCTGTCGAGAAGGCGACGTGGACTGACGGTTGCGAGTGTGTCCAGCACGCAGCGGCCGCTTGGCAGACGGGAACTTCCTTCCTTCCCTCTTTGCTGGGAGGGTCCTCGAGACAGAGGGACGCATGGAGTGACCTCTGAGGAGGCCACACGTCCTACTCACCCGTCAGGCAGCTGACGAGAGCTCCACACAGCACGGTGGTCAGCGTGCCTAGGGCACCGTAATAGAGGTAGGAGATGGCGTAGAAGCTGTCAGCTAAGGGGGGTCGGCCGGGGTCTAACGCGGAGCTGGGGGTGGGAGAGGTGGGAGTGAGTCGCCTCTTTCACCCTGTGACCAACTGCTCCCAATCCACCCCTTCCTTCTGCCTCCACTGCCACCGCCTAACCCAGCCCTCTGCTGCTGCTCACCCAGACGTGTGCAGTAGCCAATTTTCCTTCCCTCCTGCTCTCCCACCTCCACCCCCGGACATTCTCCACACACAGCCAGAGCGAGCATAACTACAGAATAACTCCGGTGATCTCCTGCCACTGCCCACCACCACGCACGGCTCCCTATACCCCTCAGAATCAAACCAAATTAAACTCTTGGAAGAAAACGTAGGTGTGAATCTTCATGACTGCGGATTAGGCAATAGTTTCTTAGGTATGACAACAAAAGCACAAGCAACCAAGGGGGAAAAAAAATAGATAAATTGGACTTCACCAAAATTAAAAATCTTTGTAGGGCTGGCCGGTTAGCTCGGTTGGTTAGAGTGCAGCCTTATAACACTAAGGTCACCGGAACGGGCCAGCCGCCAACAAACAAAAACCAAAAGCCAAACAGACAAACAAAAACCCTTTACATACATGCTAGCTGGTTATGTCAGTAGGTGAGAGCACTATCTTGTAACACCAGCATCAAGAGTTTAGATCGCCAGACTGCCCAGCCACCAATAAATAAATAAATAAATAAATAAATAAAAACCAAAAAATATTTTGTGTATCGAAGGACACTATCAAGAGAATGAAAAGACAACCCACAGAATGGGAGAAAATATTTGCAAATTATGCAACTGATGATGGTCTGGTACCCAGAATATATAAAGATTAGAGCATGGCGTGTTAACACCAAGGTTAGCTGCCAAAACAAACAAAAACACACACAAACCAAAAGCAAACAAAAAGTAAAGACAATACATAAAGATATAAAGAATTTTGTAAATGACAACTTAACAATAAGAAGGCAAATGACCCAATCAAAAATGGGCAAAGCATTTGAATGGACATTTCTGCACAGAAGATATACAAATGGCCAATAAGCATGGGAAAAGATGCTCGACTTCACTAGTCATCAGGGAAATGCAAACCAAAACCATGATGAGATACCAATTCATGTCCACTAGGATGACTAGAACAGAAATTTTTTAAAAAGGAGAGAATAACAAATGTTGGTGAGCATGTGGAGGACTTGAAACTCATACACTGCTGGTGCAGCTGCTGTGGAAAACGGTCTGGTGGTTCCTCAAAAAGTTAATCGTAGAATTACCATATGACCCAGCAATTCCGCTCCTTGAGATATACCGAGAGAAATGAAAACATGCATCCAAACCAGAACTTGTACACAAATGTTTACAGCAGCACTATTCATAATAGCCCAAAAAGTAGAATCAACCTAAATGTCCATGAACAGGATGGACAAAATGGGGTCCATCCACACAGTGGAATATTACTCAGCCATAAAAAAGGAGGAAGCACTGATACATTCTACAGCGTGGATGAGCCTTGGAAACATGCTTAGACAAAAAAGACCACCTATTGTACGATTCCACTTATAGGAAATGTCCAGAATATGTACATCCATCCAGAAAGAAAGTGGATTAGTGGTTGCCAGGGGCTGGAGGAGGGAGAATGGGGGTGACTGGTAATGGGGACAGGACTTCTTTTTGGGATGATGAAAATGTTCTTGAATTAGATAGTGGTGATGGTTACACAACCTCGTGAATATACCAAAAGCTACTTGGTATAAATGGTTAATTGTATGGTATGTGAATTATATCTCAATGTATGGTATGTGAATTATAGCTCCATAAAAAATAGAATCAAACCAATTCCTCTGGCTAGAATGCGTTTCTTACCCCTCCCTCCTCTCATTAAATTCACCCCAGCCTCACGGTAGCTGGACCTCAGGAAACTGAATCTGGCCTCAGGGCCTTTGCATATCCGTCCCTCCTCTGGGAATGCCCTTCCCCAGCCACTCTCCTTCCTATTCCGGGCTCAGTTTCCCTTCCTGACCACACCCTCTCCAGCCACGCCGCTCCCCCACCCCTCCATCTGCTCACCTGGGGGCCCTGCTGGACGCGTTGGCAGCGAGGAGGGGGTCCAGAAGGCCAGAGACGTTGGCTGAGGGAGCCAAGCAGCCGGTAGCCGAAGAGGGCAGGACCCCCATGGTCTGCGCGCTAGGCGGGTACAGCGTAGCGCCCACGGCCACCCACAGTGACAGCGCCAAGCCCGCGCCCAGCCCTGAGAGGACGCCCTGTGGGCGGAGCCGGCGTCAGAGCAGGAGGATGTCCGGCCACGCCCCTCCAGCCCCTCATCCACCCGCCCCCACTCACGGGCGTGTTGCAGGCGGGCAGGGACATTCCCAGGATGAAGCCTCCGAGAAGGGGCCCGCTGATGACCCCCATGACGGTGAAGGAGCCCTGGAGAGTAGGTGGGGGGTGGGGCTGAGGGCAGAGCCGTCCCAGCTCTCCCGGTCTCAGTTTACCCGCTGGGAAAGCAAGACCTGAGGGATTGCACTGTGGATCTTGAGACTCGTCTGTGCCTCAGTTTCCCTAAAGGAGAGGGGACTCCCTGTTCCTGCCTCTCTCCCCTGGGATGGAGACAAAGATGGCGATTCTCTCACCTGACAGTTTCGGTTCCACCTCTAAGCCGGGGAGGTCCTTTCTGCCCCGACATCCCACCCCTGCTCCAGCCGGCAGGCTGCAGGAATTACTGGGCCTGTGGCGTCAGACAGAACCCTGTTCTGCCACCGACACTTGGAACCTTCTCTGAGCTTCAGTTCAATGGCGACGATGCCCCATCTCTCAGGGAGACCAGGGCGGGGTGGGGTGGGGGACTTACCTGGAGGACTCCGCCCCCCAGCAGTGAGGCCAGAGCCGCCACGGTGAGACAGGCCGAGCCGTAGACGAGTGCTGTAGCCGATGGAGGTGGCACGGTCAGCGGGGACAGACTGACCCGGTGCCCCACCCGGGTCCCCCCCCCCCAACTCACAGAGCCCCTTGGAGATAATCACGAGTTTCCGGGGTGCCAGGTTCGGCAGCCGCGGTTTGATGAGGTCTTCCACGGTGACGGCCGCCATGGCATTGATGCTGGTGGAAGCTGTGCTGGGGGGTGTGAGGCACGAGGAAGGTCCTCAGACCATGGAGAGGGACTGACCACACCCGTTTTGGGACCCACCTGCTGGGCAGGCTCCCCAGCTGCCCACACCCTCTGGCCTGCCAAGACCCCACCCAGCTGGAGTGCAGAGGTGGGGGTGACCAAGTCCCCCCAGAGTGGAGGAGATGTCTGCCCCCTCCTGGCTCGTAGACCTGAGCCACCCCCACTGTGACCAAGGACATGCAGGTCAGACAGGCAAGTTCTAGTTACAGAGAGAAGTGCCACATGGGACTCCAGTCACAGTGGGAGACTTGCAAAGGGGGGAGTGAGGGCATGTGGCCAGAAGTCCCAGAAGATTTGAAACCACCCAGGAGTGTGGCCTCAGAGGGCAGGACTGAGGGACCGCTTGGTCAAGGCTGTGCCCCAGGATTTAGAAGAGCAGTACCTGCCACATAGTAGATGCTTAATAAACACTTATTTGGGGGAGAATAGAAGGAAGAGGAAGAAAAGGGGGTCAGGTGTTGCCCCTTCAGGTAATAAGACCCTCCAGCTGGGGTCCCTGTGCCCAGGGCGTAATCTCTGCCAGAGCCCACCTGAGCTGCCCACTAGGGACCAGGCAGGAACTGTGAATGATGGACATGCTCAGAACATTCCACCCCCCAGGGGGGATGGCCAGGAGTGATAGCCCCGAGGGGCTTAGAGATGTGGCTGCATGAACAAGCTGGACCGCTCACCTGAGGGTGCCGCTGTAGGCACAGGCCAGGAAGAGCCCGGGAACTCCAGGCAGGTCCTCAAAGATGTCCAGCACCAGCAGGGGCATGTACTGGGAGGATTTGGGGGTCAACCTCCAGGACAGCAGCACCCTGAGGGCAGGGGCTTCTGCCTATCCTGCCCCTGCAAGTCCCCAGCACCCAGGGCAGACAGGGCTCACAGTGGACATTTAATGTGTGTTTGTTGGTTGACTACACGAACCTGAGGATTGTCACTGAGCCCCACTGTGTGCCGAGCCCTGGGATCCCAGGGAGGCAGGATCACAAATCATCCCCACTTTACTGATGAGCACTGTGAAGCTAAGAGGTACAGTCCCTACCTGAGGCTGTGCAGTCCAGGATCTGAGCCCAGGGGAGAGTGGCAGGTGGGATGGGCTTGCAGCCTCAACTGACTCTGAGCCCCGTGGCCAGAATTCCAGCTGGGGTGTGACCTGGGCATGGGTCCTGCCCCAGCACTGCCCCTGACTTGCCTGCTGACCTCAGGCAGTTGCTTCCCCCCTGAGCCTCAGTTTCCTCATCTGTAAAGTGGGAGCCATGACAGCCTTGGCCTATTACGTGCTGGAGGATTTGATGGGAAACTAACTGCTCATGAAGAGAACAGCAGGAGGCACAGAGTAGGCGCTCGGAACATGAGGCTGGTCATTCTTCTTGTCGACATTGTCATTTCATGCATGGACCATATTCCCATCTCCTTGATATCCCCCAGGGGGTTTCTGTACCTCTAGATCTGAACATACCCCTCCCCTGCTTATACCCTGCTATGGCTCCCCATTGCCTCCCAGACTCCACTTCCCCACTCCTCCTAGATCCTCCTCTGAGCTCTTTTCTGCCTCTGGACCTTTGCACAGCCTGTCCCCTCTGCTAGGAATGCTCTTCCACCCCTGCCTCTTGAGGTTGGGGGGGGTACGAATCCGACCGAGAGCCTGGGTGGAACTCACCTGGTCTGGGGCAGAGATATGTCCTGTGAGGAGAGGGTCGCAGTCATTGTAGAATACAAACATGACGATACCGCAGCCAGCAGCACTGAACACGATCAGGAACAGGCCCAGCTGGTTGATAAGCAGGGCCCTGGGCAGAGGGGTCGTCTCAGGCTGGGAATGAGGCAGCATATCCCAAGAGCCCCCACCTTGCTGCCCCAAACACTCACAGCTTGGCCTGCCTCTCCGTGCGGCAGGCCACATAGCGCTGCACCTGTGCCTGGTTCACACCATACATCGAGAGCCACACCAAGGTGCCACCCACAACAAATGTCCAGAATGTATAGCGGCTCCGTGGATCCGGGTCAAAGCTGGGTGGGGACAGGGCAAGTCAGACATGAGGGGATGTCACACTGAATTCTCCCTCCAAGGGCCCCGGGTAGCCATTCTGGAGCTTGTGAACCTTAAGGGCACATTTGGAGTGGGTTTTGAAGTGTGAGTAGGAGTTTGACAGATTTAAATTCATTTATTTGTTCACTGAATCTTCTACGTATGCATTCAAAAACCATTCTTTCTGCAACCAGCTGAGACCTCAGAGAGGCTTTGGCCCTCAGGCTGGGCTGCGGAGGGGCTAGAGCTGGACACAAGCCCTCAGCAGGGTCAGGCCTTGGCCAGATGGATGGATGAGGGCTAGAGTAGTGCAGCGAGTGAGAGCCAGGGTTCTCTCTGTGGGGAGGCTGGGAAGGGGAGCATGGAGGGCTTCCTGGAGCAAGATGCATTGTCTGGCTTCTCCCAGGACACAAAGGGAAGCCGGCTACATTCTTTTGCTGCATTCCCTTTTATGTTTTCACTCACTCCATTAGGTTGATCCGGGAGTGGTTCTGGGCAAGCCTGAGCACATGCCGGGGCCCACCCACAAGCATGGCACCGCGGACCAGAACGACCCAGAAGCCAGTCAGCATCACCACCACCTGGAACACATCAGTCCAAACCACAGCCTTCATGCCACCCTGCAGAATGGGACGGAGAGAACGGGAAGAAGGGGTCAGATGGGGACCTGTCTGAGGCCTGTGGGACAGGGCAGAGAGGGGAGGAGAAGACATCAGACGAGGTGCCGAACCTGGCCTGGACTCTGGCTGTAGCTAGAACAAATGCTACTCTCCGCCTCAGTTTCCTCATCTGTAAAATGGGGTTAATAATTGTTCCTTTTCACGGTGTTGTTGTGAGGACTAAATAAGTTAATAAGCACCTGCCACACACAAGCGCTTGATGGGGGATTGCCATCTGTACTATTACAATCACTGCAACTGTTATTATTTAAAAAAAAAATTATTAATTTTTTTGGCGCCTGCGGGTACGGGGATCTGCTAATATTAGTTGTTTTTACCCACCCAGCCTCCATGGCTTTGACGTCCCATGGCAATCCCTGGGCTTTTCTTTGGGGACGCCCCTCCCCCTCTCGCAGGCTATTCAAGTGAGGCTGACCCCGCCCCCAGCTCCAGGAATAGTCAATCAGAGCAGGGCAGCCCTCTAAGCTGTGGTGAATGACTCCCTCCAGACCTGAGCCAGCCAATCAAAGCCTCTCTGGGACTTTAGCCCCATGTTGAAGCAGGAGCTCACTTTGTGCTGGACATTCTTCCACCAGAAGAGGTGGACACCTGGAGCTGATGGAGCCCAGAGAGATGGGGGAGGCACCCACAGGACGCTGTCGTAGCCCCCGGATTCAGCCATGCCCGAAGCTAGCATAAACCTAGATTCTCAGCAATAAGCCTTTCAGGTCACCTTTCGTTATAAAGATGAGGAAACTGAGTCCCAACTGGAACAGGAGCTTCCTCAGGAGAAAGGGGAGGTGGAAGTGAACTGGCCGGCCCGAAGCCTCCACCACGAGAGATCCAGTGGGCAGGGAGTCCCCGCGTGGGATGGGTTCTCGGGGCCACTCACCACAGCCGTGTAGAAGGTGCAGATAATTCCGGTGGACAGGAGCGACGCCCAGATGTCCAGCCCGGTCACTGCGCCAAGAGATCCCCCCCATTAGGCCGCCGGGCGGGGCACAAATTTGGCCCCCGGCGTCTTGGGCCTCCTCTCCCTCCGTCTCCCTCTGGCCCAGCCCCTGCCTGCTCCCGGATCTCTCGCAAACCTTGGTTCAGGATGAGCGCGGGTGCATAGATGACGACGCCAGTGTACAGCACCTGCGGGTGCAGGGCAGGTGAGGCAGAGCGGGCGGGGTGGGAGTGGGTCTGGGAGAGAGGGGCGGGAGGAGGGTGGTCCCGGCAGGGGGGGAGGGGCGGATGGGCGGGTCCTGCAGCACGGGGGCGGGGCCGGACAGGTGTGTGGGCGGGGCCTGGGGCCGGGCCGCGTTGCTTGGGAGCAGGACTCTGCGGGTGAGGACCGCGCTGAGGCCACTCACCGTGGCCACCAGGTATTGCAGTGTCCCGCAGAGCCGCACCGCGCGGCTAAAGCGCAGCTCCAGGTACTGCAAGGAGGAGCCGGGGGGCTCATGGTCACCCAGACAGACCCTAGCCGGGGGCCCGAGCCCTCTGGGGTCCGTCGCCCACCCTCGTGGTTTGTGATCTCTCTCCGGAGGCCCACTGCGCTCGCCACACTCTTGCCCGTGGGTGTTCCGCCACACCCACACATTCCGATCTGTCCGCATACACCTGTGCACACGTGTCACCGCACACGGCGTGTGTCCTCGCGTGCATACGCCCTTCCACTCGTGTGTGACGGGCCTGAGTTCCCGGAGCGGCGACTGCTCCGCGCACCTCGACGTGCCCACACGCGCAAGATGTAGACACTGCCCGCGGCCAATGGTATTGGCCACCTACTGTATACCGGTCACGATTTTAATCACTTTACCCTCTGCCCTGGAGAGAGGTCCTGTAATTAGCCGGGTTGGACTGCTAGGGAACCCGAGCGGAGAGACACGCCCCTTGCTCAGGTAGGAGAAAGCGCCGGGGGTAGCCCCCTCTGGCGCGCACGGGTGGGTGCGCACGCCGAGCACGTGGGAGGGGGCAGGTGTGTGCCTGTCCACATGTGACGGCAGGCCTGGCCAAGCCCGCCCCGCCCGCGCTTCCACCGAAGAGCTGGACACCCGCTCCTGTCTTCCTCCTTCCTGCCCCTCTCCCACTGCCTGGGGCTTCTTCCCAGAACCCTCCCCACCTGCCTGCCCGGGGGCTCCCCGTGAAAGCGCCCTGCACAGAGGCTTGAAGCCCCAAGACTGCCTCCACCGGGTCCCTGCGTCCCCAGGCGGCGGGTCCTGCCTCAGGGCCTCTGCCGGGTACCTGGTAGGTGCTGGTGAGGCCCAGGCGGTAGAAGACGGGCAGGAAGAAGGCGGCAGTGAGCAGGGAGTTGAGCAGCTGGCCCAGGCACATCCAGAGGAACTTGAGGCCGTAGCGGTAGGCCTCGGCCGGCACGCCCAGCACCTGCACGGCCGACATGAAGCTGGCGGCCAGCGAGAGGCCCACGGGCAGGGCCGCCAGGCGCCGGCCCCCCGTGAAGAAGTCTTCGGCGCTGCGCTGCCCGCCCCGAGCCAGCCCGACCCCCAGCCCGATGCCGGTGGACACCAGCAGCATGAGGGCGAAGACCCCGTAGTCCCAGGCTCCGAACGTGGCCCGCGCCCCTGCGACTTCCATGAGTGCAAGTGCGACGGCCGAGCACGTCCTCGGCCCTCCCGGCCACCCCGAGGAAGCTGGCCGCGGCCGAGGGGGCAGGACGGGGCGGGCGGCGGGAGGATGCTCGGGCGCAGGAGGCCACGCACAAGTCTGTCCCCGTTCTGGGGCGGGAGGCAGCAAGAGGGGCTGGGGCTCCCTGGGCAAGGAATCTGAGTCCCCGCTGTCGTCTGCCTCCCTGTCCCTCCTCTCCGTTCAGCGTCTGCCACTGCCTTCTGTCTGTCCACCTCTCCTCCCACTCTGGGTCCTGCTGCTCGGTGCAGCCGTGCGTCTGCTGTCTGTCCCTCTTCCTGGGCGCTGGGCTCAGTGCTGACAACTGGAGGTCGCCATGGGGCTTTAAGGGAGCAGCTCCCGCTGTGGGCTGCGGATTTATTGGGCCCCGGGGTCAGCGCGGCTCCACCCCCAGACCAGGAGGCGGGCAGGACTGGCACCCTTTCTGCCCTGGACTGGGACAGACAAGCCCAGACAGGCCACGTGGGTGGCTACTGGGGGTGGGGGTCGGGAGGCCTCCCACACGGCCCCTGCCTGCATTTGGCCCATGCTTGATGTGGCATTTTGCCCTGACCACGGGGGCTCTCAATGCCAGGTGTTGACAGGTAGAAAAACTAAGGCTCAGAGAGGGCATGGCACTAGCCCAAGGCCACACAGCCTGCTTCAGCATGTAAAGCTCCACTGTGATTGAATACCTTGGACTATGGGAACTCACTGTCCCACAGAATTGGGGTTCACTTTCATGGTTTTGGGGTCCCATAAGGAAAACTTGCCCGGCTTGAGCCCCTCCCCTAACCGGCACCTGGACCTACCCCCTTTCTCTAAAGACTTTCTCTAAGGGGGGAGGTCATCACCAGACCCCTGCCCTCCAACTAAGCTGGGTGGGTCATTCAGGACTCAAGTCCTGAGTGGGTGCATACTTGGGGAAGTCTTTGCATCTCTCTGGGCCTCAGTTTCCCCCATGTAAATGGGGATAAAATAGCCCCTGCTTCAGAGGAATAAATTGAACCTAGTAACGCAAACCTGGCACATGGTACATGCCTCATTCATTCGTTCCTTTATTCATTTCTTCATTCACTGGGTTGCTTGGCAGACATGCATTGAGTTGGCCGTGTGCCCGGCGTAAGTGGATGATAGAGGTCGCAGGTTGGGGGAGGGATGTCAGTGGCTGTGAATTCGAATAAATGGAGACCCGTGACTACCCAGGGAGGTAAGGTCTAGTGTGTCCCTGTCGCACAGATGGGGAAACCAGTTCGGAGAGGGAAACTCCCTTCGCCCGGGGTCATGCAGCCAAGAGAGCCAAAAGCTGTCATCTTGGGGCGCTTCTCTGGTAGACCGGGGGAACTTTGGCCTCTAGGGCTCTGGCCTCTAGGTTCAAGTCCTGGTTCAGCCTCCAACTTTCTGGGTTACCGAGCATCCCAAAGCTGGGTTCCTTCTCCAGAAGCCGGCGGGATGGAAGAATCCTAGGGGCTGAAAGAAAGAGCATTTGAGGTCTTCTCTCCAGCCTCTGCCGCCCCCTGGTGGCCTCCTCTGGCCTACCCGCGCCAACCCAGCTAGGTCCAGCGTCCCCCGCCCCGCCCCCACGTGCCCCCTTTCGCTCCCTCTCCGCCTGCTGTGCAGGGTCAGCCTGACCCTCCCTCCGCCACAACACCTCGGCCTGCACACGGATACCTGTTGCAAGTTGGCATGTACCCCTGCCTGCACCAGGAGGGTGGGGAGGGCACCGAATTCTTCCTCCTTCCACCCACTTCATTTTTTCCAGGCCAGGCCCCAGCCACCCTCCTGGAAAGCCTGGTGGGAAAGGGAGACGGGGGTCGGGAGGGGGGGGGAGATTCCCTTCTAGTAAAGCCGTGCAAACCAATGCAAATATATGCAAATTAACGTAAATGGACCCTGGGAGAGGATTCCATCCCTTGTCCACCCCCCTCTCTTCCCCCACTGTGAGGGGTCCAGACTGCAGACAGAGGCCTGGGCTGAGAGGCCCATTTTTTGAGCACCTGCTGTGTGCAGGGCCCTGCACCAGGTGCTGGGACACAGCAGGATCCAGGTAGACTGAATATTTCATTTCAGAAGGCAATGGTGGGAGATGGAGGCATGGGGGTGACTTTATGTGGGGCCTCTGGGAGGGGACTTTCTGAGGTGATCAGAAACCTGCAGGCAGAGAACGAGCGGGACCTGGAGAGAGCTGGGGAAGGGAGTTTCAGGGAGGGGAACCTCAGTGCAAAGGCCCTGAGGTGGGAAGGGGCCAGTTTGGGGGCCAGCCAGGAGGCCTGGGTGGCTGAAGCAGAGTGAGCAAGGGGTGAGCAGAGATCACAGGGTATCTCCAGGGCCTCAGTGAGGGGTGTGGATTTTATTCTGCAGGCACTGGGGAGCCATGGGAGAGTTTGGAGCAGGTAAGGGGCCTGATGAGATCTCTAGGTTCTGAAAAGCCGGCCACATCCAAAGCAAGGGCTGCAGGGAGGGGAGAAGCAGGTGGATTTGGAATGTGGAATTCCAGAGGATGTCCAGAGGAGAGAGCCCTGCATGGTGGGGGTTGGGGAGTAAAACATGGACAGAGGAGGGAGCAGGGTGGGGAAAAGTGGGTCACAACTGCCCTGCCATGACTGATTCCAATTGCTGGAGGGCCTCCAGGATATAAATTGGGAAGGGCCCGGGGCAGCTGTAGATGATGTGAGCAGAAAAGAGGGTGCTGTGGCAGTGTCAGGGTGCTGTCCCCACCCTTGCCTGCTGCCCAGGCACCCTGGAGACAGGGCAGGAGTCAGGGTGAGAGGCTGTGAGCTGCTCTGGCTTTGGCACACCCTGCCAGGTGGTCCTGCACAGCTGATGCACTAGCTCTCGTGGCTGGCCAGTGCTGGAACCAAACCCTTGACCTTGTTGTTCCAAGGCTGCACTCTAACCAACTGAGCTAACCAGCCAAACCTACCAGATCCTCTTTGTGAATTAAGAGTGATGACAGCCCAACAGTGGGATTTGAATCCAGGCCACTGGTCTCCAGAGCCTGTCCTTAAACCTCCACTACACACTCAAAAAATGCAAACCATCCTTACTAAGTCCTGAGGATCCCAAGTGCGGTTCTCAGGTTCTATGATTCTCAGATGGTCTCTTTTGGTTTCAGAATCTGGGTCTGGGGTCTCCTGGGGCCCACACTTGTCTCGCCTTGCCTTGTCACCGCCCTTGCCCTCATGGTCCTGACTCAGGAGCAGAGGTGGAGTGTGGGTCGGTAGGGGAGGTTCTCAATGTCTCCCCCTGAGGGCTCTCAGCCCTGCCCACGTCCCACACCTGACACCTTGACATGCCCAGGAACAAGACCTGGGAGCGCCTCAGCTGCTGAAGTGGGAGGGGCTCCTGGCTTCCTGCCCTCTCTTGTGTTGGGCTAAGCGCTTTATGTTGGGCTAACCGGGTGAGTCCAGGCAGAACCTGGCCTTCTCTTGACCTCAGCCTACCATCCAGGCCCTCCCTGGTCAGCCCCTCATCTGCCCCACCCACAGCCACACGGATAGGCCTATTTCCCCTCAGCTCCAGGCGTTTGCTCTGGCTGGTCCCACAGCTCAGCTCTTTGACAGTTGGGGCTCCATTCAGAGGGCCTTCTCTCCAGCAAGCGCCTGATGTCTGCTCTGCATAGGGCTTGTGGCTGCTCTTCTCCCTCCCCTGAGGAAGGAGCAGGGCATGTCTGTCTGGTCAGGCCCCTGCAGGCTCAGGGATGATCAAGGCTGATACAGTGATGGAAAGTGGATGGCAGTTGGGTAGAGAAAGGATATGACTGGTTGGGTGGATGGTGGATGGGTGGATGGATGAATAGATGAATGTATGGGTGAGGACAGATGGATGGATGGATGGATGATAGGTGGTTGGATGGTGGAAGGATCCATGACTAAACAGATTGAAGGAGTGGTTAAACAGGAGGTGTCTGGTCAAGTTTCTGAGAAGCTGAGTAGACGGTGGGGAGGTGGTGAATGGGTATAGGTTAGGACGTGGGGGCTCATTGACCCTTGGTTCAAGGTCCCCTTAATAATGGGCTTCACCCCCACCCCTCAGGCGGTTGGGGCAGAGCTCTCCTACCTGGCCCCCAGGTTGCTGCAACACAAATGGAGCCCTGGGGGAGCTCCAAGCTACTTGAAGAGGCCTGACGTAGGGATGGGGTGTGCAGCGGGCTTTTGTGGCACCCTGGCCTGGCCCCCCCCCCCCACTTTCCTGGCGATTACCCTCCCGGATGAGCCTCCTGGTCTCTCATCCTCCGGCTCACCTGATGCCCTCCCCCTCCTGCAGCCCTGCGGGATCACCACCCTCTCCACAGAGGAAGAAACTAAGGCTCAGAGTGCATGGGGACTTCCCACTGGCACTGCTCTCGTGGCCCAACAGCACCACACCCTCCTTCAGGCCCAGCTCGAGGTCAAGTGGAACAGCCGCTCCAGATTACAGCCTGAACAGCACTGGGGTCTCCTCCAGGTCAGGCCTGGGGGAGGGGAGGCAGTCCACAGGGCCAGGTACTGGAGCTCCTGTGCCTCTCCTGTGTGGCTTCTTCACAGCCCAAGACAGCTGCTGGAGCAATGGCCACTGTGCCCACATACCAGCCAGACTGATATTTCCTGCAAATGGCACGTCACTGCTGTTAACATCACATGACCACCCCAACTGAAAGGGAGGCTGGGTATTTGGGGTAACAAGGAGTTTCTGCCACAAACCACTTTTAAGGGTTCTGTCTGTCCATTTATTTAAGAAAGATTTGAGGCCCTCTTAGGGACACATGGGTGACACACCTGGTCACTGCCCTCAGACAGTCTGGTGGGAGACAGAAACCCAGGGGTCTGTAGTGGGCAGAGGGTCCTGGCCCCAGGGCGTCTTTCCCGTGAGAACGGCTGCTCGTGCCCTGCGAGTCTGGGTGCCTCTCCTGGTTCCTGAGCATTGCAACACCTTGTGGGTGGGGTTTTCTGGAAACCACCTAGTCCTCCACAGGTGGGGAAGCTGGGGGCACACTGTCTTTTTTGCCTCAGTTTTCTCACTAGGACACAAAGGCAGGCCCTGTAGCCTGCGTATGGGTCACTTCCCAAGTACTGTGGACTGAGTAAACATGGCATCCTGTGACACCAAGCCCAGAAGGCCAGGCTGGCCCAGGTCACACACCAAGGACAGGAGGCTGCCAAAGCCTGAGCTCTTGGCTGTCTCAGCTCCCCCAGCAATGAAGGCTTAGCATCCACCTGGCTGAGGGGCTCAGCCCGGTGGCCACCCCCAGGGTAGGATTAGCTTCATGCCTGGAATTTTCCAGGCCTAAAGTGGTTTCCTGGAGACAGGAACCAACAGTGAGAGCCTGACCTCCCCAGCATTGTCATTAGGCCCCCGCTACTGGCAAAGGGGAAACAGAATGCCCACATAGTAGGCCCATGACCCTCTCCGGTGACCCCTTGCTCTGAAATCTTCGGAAAAGAAACCCAGGTTTTGGGCCATAATTGATCAGGAGAGGAAAGCCCGTCATCATGGAGTCTCCCCAGAGTCCAGGCTCAGCAGAAAAGTGTCTTATCATCATCAGCAGCAGACAGCTGAGGCCTGTGTCTGCCAGGACAGCTGGGACAGACCTGGGGGTCCTGTGACCTACAGTGCACCCCGCAGATCACAGCCCAGGCTCTCCTGACAGGGCTCAAAACCAGGCTTCTGGATCCAAGCCTGTGCCACGACAGTCCCCACCGGAACTAGCCTGGTGTGGGGGAGGGTGCTGAGCAGCAGGAAGGGCTCAGGGGTTGGGGCCTCAGCCCCTTGATGCCCTTTTTGGAGAGCCAGTGTGTGGGCCCCACTCCAGGAGGGGAAGCTGTGAGGGTTTGCTTGTTTGCACTGAGGACCCCCCCTGGACAACTTGCAGCCAGTTCGGCAGCTGCGCCCTGGGAGGTGACCCACGGGCTGGCCTCTCACCATGTCCTTCTGAGCCCTGTGGGGTGTGCAAAGAAAATAAGCGCTCAGTGTGCTCCCAAGGAATTTATTCAGGCAGACCCGGGAGAGAGGCTGCACCTAGAAGAAGGTGTTGGGCCTCTTGGTGGTGAAGCGCGGCTTGTGCTGGCGACGCAGGACCCGGTGGGGCAGTGGGAACTTGATCTTGGAGTCCTGTGAGGAGGAGAGGCGGGGAGGGGGAGGAGGCCTCTTAGTCTGGTCCTCTGGGTGTCACTGAAGTATGACTGCCCCCACTGGGCTCCTATGTCAGACCCAGCGCCGCCCTCCAGGGGAGCCCTCCCGAGCCCAACCCTGCCAGCAGGGCACTCACGTGGAACTGCTTGACCGCCGGTCGGCGGCACTTGCTGGCCGCAATCTCCTCCACCTTCATGATCTGGATGGAGTGGGCCCGGGCGCGGTGCCGCGCGCCCATGTCTCGGTCTGCAGGAAGGGGTAGGGTGGCTGAACTTGCGGGGATCTGGGCATAGGGCAATCCTCAGGTGCCTGCTCAGTGACCTGACGCATCCTGCCTGATACAGCAACTGCCTGGGGACCCAACTTGGGCTGACTGGGGAACTAGGTGCCCACAGCATGTGGCCCCAGTGGGCACTGGCGGCAAAGGATGTAGAACCTCCAAATTCACTTTGAGGGGCACAGCCACAGCCCCACAAAGGCGACGAGATCCACTTGCTGTTTGCACCTCTGTTTAAACCGCTGCTATAAGAAACAGTGATTCTTGGGTTTAGGTGCGAGTGGGGAGGAGTGGGGGCCTCAGGGGCACTTGGTGCCAGCTCCCGAAACCAGTCGGTTGGACTAGGTTCTGGGTGGTTCCCAGAAAACAGAGCTGTGACAGGGAGCCCAGTCTACACGAGGGGCAGATTCCCCCAAAAAAGCAGGTTCAGGATGTAGATGTGATGGACAATTGAGCCTGGTGGGAGGACTTGAGCTCCCTCTCTCTGAGCCCCAAAGTCCTCATGCTGCCAACTTCCAGATAAAAGCATGCCTGGGGCCTAGGGCCTCCTCTACTCCTGCCCCTAAGCAAAGCCTCCTCTGCGGCCCATGCCACCATCTCTGGAAATCCGCCTCCACCCCCTGCAAGCCTCTTGTGTTCCCCGGCCTCAGTCTGAGGGAGTCAGTGTGAATCTACAGGAGGGAGGGGGGCGGGAGCCGGCGGCTTACAGCACTGGGTGACGGCGCCTGCAGTGGTCAGGTCCCGGTATTCCCGGTACATGTTGTGGGTGCCGCTGCGGGAGTCATAGCGCAGCCAGATGCCAAAGTTCTTCACCCGCAGGGGGGACTTCTCAAACACCTGCCAAGGACAGACCGCATGAGGCGAGAGCAGCAAGTGGATCTCACCCCAGTCCCCACCCTCGCTGAACCCACACCTCTGCCCCCAAAGGACAGCCCAGCACCCAGCCTCTGCTGGAGCCAGACTCTCAGCTTCCCAGGCCCACGCCTTCCTGCAGGCATCCTCGGGGACCTGCCACATAAGGGAATTCCAATGGCAACAGTGGCAGTGCAGAGCAGTCTGGGCCACGCTGCTTCTCCTGTAAAGGGCAACAGAGCTCCAGGCTCCTCCCCAAACCCAACTCTCTGGGACCTGTCTGGGCTAAGCTGGCCACTGCCTAGCACCCATCATGGCACATGTGCCCAGGTGACAGCACCTCTCTCCATTTTATGGATGTGGCCCAGGAAGGGTAACAGCCTAAACCAAGGTGTCTCACCAAGCCAGCCAGCCACCCCTCCCTGGCTCCCAGGGTTACTAATCAGGAAAATGGCACAGAGACACCCCTCCAGTCTTGTGGCCTGAACATGAACATGACTTGGAGCTATGAAGTCTGGTAACTCCGTAGGGGATGTAGTGCCCCATGGGAAGGTGTGAATCCACTCCAGACTCCACCCTGCTTCCAACACCCCACACCTGTCCACAGTAGACAATTTCCCCTGAAGACTTCTTCATTTTCTTCAGCTGAGATACAAAGTACCAGAAGCGGGACTTGGCAACAACATGATTAGGCGCAAAGATTCGCATGCGGTACAGGGGCGGCGTGCGGCACTTGGGGGTGGGTAGGCAGCGCCCCACCACCTTGTACTCTCGCAGCTGAAAGGAAACAGAGGTGAGGTGGGGCCAGCACCCAGAGGCAACTGTGCAGACCCTCTTCACTCCCCTTCCCAAGCCTGGCAATGACCAGATTCAGGAAATCCAGTAGGCAGGGCCACCCTAAGGCCTCCATGTGGAATCCCAGTGACTGTGGGTCACACTACTGACCTGAGCTTTATCCACAAACTCAAGTGAGGGCAGGCAGGGCTCCAGGGGAAATTAACTGAGATGTCTGCCCACGCTTTACCAGAGCTAAAATCTTCAGGTCAGAAAAGCTTGGCAGGGCTTTCGACTCTGGTATCCCTTCCTTTCCCTTTTGTAAGTGGGAAAGCAGAGGCCTAGACCAGCCGCCTCCTCTCTCCACACTACAGTCCCTGTCAAACAGCCACTCTGCAGTTCATAACATCTAGTCACCAACCTCTTTCACCCTCGAGGCCAGGGACAGTGACCCGCCCAGGATCTCACAGGCCACTCCAGGCAGAACTAAGATATGAATAGAGGTCCCTCCCTGCACTGCTGCCAGGAGTCCTGCAGATGCCTCAGTTTTCCCAGCTGCAGTACAAAGGTTTGGACCATGGAAGGCCCCCCGTTTGCAAAGATGGGGATATTCCGCCAAGTCCCAGCCCTGTGATGTGGCAGAAAACAGCCGCCTACGTGAACGACTCGCCATCTCTACTAATATCAATGAAAAATAGGCACAGCTACCGAAGATCTGGCTCCTGCTTTCTGCTCTGAGCTTGACCCACTGGTCTCGGGACCACACGAAGGGAACGATGGGGCCCGCCCTTTTCCAAGCGAGGAAACTGAGGCTGGAGATACTTGTAGGACCCCACCCGCGCACCCAGTGTCTCCCATCAGTGCGCCAGAGACCTCGGATCCTGCCCACAACGTGTCCCAGCGACAAGCCCCGCGCTTCCCGTCTCAGCTCGCTGTTTACGGTTTTCTGCTTCCTACGGCCAAGCCGGGGGAAAGGGACTACGACTGCCGCCCCCTCCCACGTCCGCTTCACAGGTGGGGAAACTGAGGCTCTGCGGCTCCATGAGGTGCCATGGCACGGGCCTCCAAGCTGCGCGACTTGTCCCTTCTCCTGGAAAGAAGACCCGGCCCCTCGGGCCCCGGCGATCCCCGGGCCGGCTCCGGCCCCGCTCGGCCTCCCCACA